TGGTGTTTTCTATCTTTTATCCCTGTGCTGCTTTTAATTTTCTTTTTACAAAAAAAAACAACAACAAACCAGAAACTGTACCCTACATCTATAAACAACTTTAGAGGGAATATCTCGAAGGTTTAATATCACGTGGAGTGTAAAATAAAAAGAACAAGAAGTGCCGTGACCAGGATTTGAACCTGGGTTATTGCGGCCACAACGCAATGTACTAACCACTATACGATCACGGCTGCCACTGCTTCTCACAGGTGATTTCAGGAAGAAAATTATTATAATCTCAAATCCTGGTCACGGCACTTGAGCTGTAGTCATATTTTCTTTTTTTTTTTTTTTTGCTTCAATTTTTCATGTTTCTTTTTATTTTGTTCTATCTTCGGGGTTTTCTATCTGCACATTTCTGGGAAAAATTTGTAAAACAAACGCTGAGACATTCCTTTTTGATTATGAATTACAGCGCAAGTGCGCATCATTTTCTTTGACCTTTGACTTTTAGTATTAAAAAATACTTTACCAAAAAGGAGTTCTGGGTTTATTGTAGAAAAAAGACAACAAACCAGACACTATACCCTACATCTATAAACAACATTAGAGGGAATATTTATAAGTTTAATATCATGTGGGGTGTGAATAAAATAAAAAGAAAAAGAAGTGCCGTGACCAGGATTCGAACCTAGGTTATTGCGGCCACAACGCAATGTACTTACCACTATACGACCACAGCTGCCACTGTTCCTCGCGGGTAAATCCAGGAAGAAAATTATTATGAGCTCAAATCCTGGTCACAGCACTTGAGCTGTAGGTTTAAAACCTTGTGGGGTGTTAATAAAATAAAAAGAACAAGAAGTGCCGTTACCAGGATTCAAACCTGAGTTATTGCGGCCACAACGCAATGTACGAACTACTATACGATCACGGCTCCCACTGCTTTTCGATTGTTTTGTAGGAAGAAAATTATTATGAGGTCACTTGCATGAAACGCACTCGATCAGCTTTGTCATGTCTTTAATATCGTTGCTGAAATTCGTATTCAATGTATCTTAATTTTCATTTCTGACATTGCATCAAAAATGAGGAAATCATAGAAAAATGTTTCATTTATTTCTCCTTTTTTATCAAAATGTAAAATTATATAAATTGTTATGCAGAAACCCATTAACACACCATAACAAAGTGAACATTTTTTTTTATCTTTGACCCCAGAAATTACACCCTTCCCTTTCTCTTTCATTAGCCCCCGCGATCCTTTTTTTGTTACCTTAATTGCGGCTTTGGTGTGCTTAAGTCCTTTTCTAATGAACCCCTCGAGCATAGAACGATTTCGGGTGCAAGCAAATCAGTCCTTTCCTGAAAAAAAAAAAAATCAAAACAATACAGACATAAAGAGAGAAAAAACATAATAATTCTATGCTATCTAAATCATAACATTGTATGGATCCATACAGAAAACTTACCTTTTAAGGAATGAGGCAGTTGTGACGAAAGATTTGCTACCAATATTCAGTCACCATGAAGTTTCCATTTTAGTAAACCCAGACGTGGCAAAAAATTATTCCCTATATTCCCAATGTCCATTATTAAAAACTCCTCTACCAAAATTCATTGCAGGTTCGGTTCCCTTACGTTGCCGAGTTGTGGCTCGAATAAAAAATCAGCTTTGGAATGAAGATCTTACTTCACCAGAAACGGATCCATACAGAGCAATGACAAATGAAATAATAAGCAATGTAAGTTGAACCAACCACCGCTTCATTCTAACCTGAGGATCTTTAAGTATTGTTCCTCATAAAAGTGTTGTTATTTAGCTTTTATTTGAATGGTTATCGCCCCAGGTTTATCCACAGATTTTAGAGTTATGACCATCTTGCAGAGTATAGCAAATAGTACGCAACAGATGAAAATACTGCGCATTGCCGCTCATTTGAATAATTACACAATGCATGGTTTACTTTATCTGTATTGATTTTCTTATTTTATTTGTTGTTAATTAGGTCACCAGGTTTTATGAGGGAATCCGAGTTACTGTTACCGTGAATGAGTTTAGGTAGGTAACTCTACACTGTATGTGCAAGTGTATTCTGATTACTAATTTGAAGGGGCACCCATTTAAGATTGACCAATAAAAGGGTTTCCGCCGGCTTGGATAGGTTGAAGAGGTAAAGTCTGCACTCGACCTAAGTGTTCTACCCTAGTGGATGCTGGTCCCAATTTGGGCCCATAGAAGGGGTCCACTGGCTAGGATAGGGGTGATGCTAAATCCAGAATGTATGATATTTGTATTTAATATGTGCTCATGCGGTTTTTCTGTCTTTCTTCGTATCACTCAAAATTTCTCTTTTACGTTTTTCCATGTAGGAACGGAAGCGTGATTGCAGATTTCACTATCATTTACAACGTTAGCGACTACAAATTGATTGAAAGACTTCAACAGAACATATCATCCACGGGTTTTCTATACAACATGCCTCTAGAGGTGGAAGAATTTACAGCTGAAAATGGTAAACAGTCACTTTATTTGGTCAGTTCAATACTCCTATCAAATTTTACTCCAGAACAAGAGGGTCTGAATGCGCTTATGCTTAACGCTTCGATGCTATCTAGTTCTACTTGCCGCTTGTAATTTCATGGAGAATAGCTTAGATTGATGCACATTTTGCAGCATTTTGAGTGTTTTAAATTACAACTAATGAAAATGTTCCGGCAAACAAATACAGAAAGGAAAGAGATGACAACGGGCAATAGAGGATTCAAAATAAAAACTTATTGGACCAGGAAAATGCAAGAAACTTGCTACCTTGCAGTTGGCTTTAATAGTGCAACTGACTGATCGAGACGGTAGTGCAAGTTTTCTTGACCAAACCAGCTACTGCAATCGGCTTAAGAGAAACCGATGCAATGTTAGATTGCTAGCTACACTCGAATACAAATAATTCGAGTAACTGGAATTAAAGTAATTTGATCCTAAAAGCGATAGCACGCCATCATATCTTTTAGTTAAGATGAGACCACATATAAATCATTATTGGAAAGCAGGGAAAAATTAGGGACTGTTCACAAACGTTTGACTCGGATTACGCATACTATATTCATAAAAAGACCAATCAGGACCGTTCAATTCATCGTGGCAAAAATGTGTCGAAATTATAATCAACAGTAACATTCTCGTTTACATTTTCTTCCTTCAGTTCCAGAAGTTGCTCCCACAAATATAAGTGTGCTTCGTGTGGAAGATACAAGCATTCATATCAGATGGAACAGTCTCAGCCTTCCGCCGAGTATTTCCGCCATATTCCAGGGCTATAAGGTTTTCATTAGATCAGTGGGAAGGGCAGACGTCATAGTTACCACGGTGACCGTAAATGACCTCGTTAACTTCGTCACTATAAAAGGACTGGAATCATTGGTAACGTATAACCTGACTGTGGCTGGATACACACTAAGTGGAGTTGGAAGGGAAAGCGAGAGCTTCTCTGTAACCACCCCTTTAGGTACAGTAATTAGTATGGGGCCTCGCAGTACGTGCTGCGCGCCCTATTTGCTCCGCTATTAATCAAATTAGCCTTGCCCAATTATTTTTCATTATATATTTCGCTATTTTGACTGGCTCTAACCCTTTAACTAAGAATGACTTGCTACAAATTTCTCCTTAAATTATCACCTTATAATCTAGTACAAAAATTAAAAGTATAATGATTACCAATTTTTAAGAAGCTCACCTCCTGACAGTCCAACATATCCCCCTTGTCAAAACCCTGGGAAATGTTAATAGAACAGAGTTGAGAATGTGAATTCTAATGCTAGGGTATAATGGGTCAAAGAGAGGAGTTAGTGGTTATTGTCTACTGTTGTTTACATACGTATGGTTATAGCACTGGTTAGAACCACTGATTATAGCATTCGATTCCCTCACCATAAATGGTTTGAATGATTCGTATTTCAATGTATCCTTTCAAAAAACGAAAAATTGTGCTATGCCTGATATAAAACTCGAAGTATACAAAGACAGGGTTTTCTTTTTTTAAAAAAATTAATTCATATTTCGTATACGTAGATGATCCGCCTGAAGATATATCAGTAGAACGGGTGACGTCAAATTGCGTTCAAATCAAGTGGGGTGGCCTTCCACCAGAGAAACTTGCTGCATTTGATGGCTATCGTGTGTTCTACGCCTTGTTCAGCCACCCCACTTTTTCTTTGAACACGACAGTGAATTCATCGACTCATCGGGTGGAGATCTGTAGTCTTGAATCGTCCATGAAGTATAAGTTTTATGTACAGCGTATCCTTCGAAAAGATGTGGGAAACGCGAGTGATGTTAAATACTTCACGACAGAGATAGGTAAGTACACCTGGACTGTTCTATGGCAAGCTCTTTGCGGAACGAATTAGTATCTTTCAAACCCTAAATTAAAAAACGTTGCAAAATTAAGTTCTCGTCTGCGTCAATAGAGCTAGCAATCATTCCCCCAACACGTGTAAAACATGCGATAATAGATAGCTAACCGGAGTTTCGTCTCTTCCCCTCTCCCGAGGAACCAACAATTTTTCGAAAATGACACACTGTCAACCCCTTTCTCTTCAACCCCTTTCTCTTCCACCCCTTAGAGATCCATTCTCTCCCCCCCTCTACAATATCCCCTATTTGAGAGGGAACGTCCCTCTTCCAAAAGCCTTTCCTTACGAAGTGCTACCTAATTTACAAACATTTATGAGCACACTGTATCTTTTTCTCGTGACCTTCTCTTTAAGATCATGCACGGAAGAATATCAGAGTCTGTCTTCAAATCATAAATAATAGACGCCAAAAACCTTTCATATGATTAAACTCGTGGGATTAATTCCTACTTGCACAAGATGTAAAAGGGAAGATCCCCAGAGGTTCACTTTGTTAAGGGTAGACACCAAGTTCATCAGCTAACAACAAAAACTTCTCTATTCAGGGTAGTTTTGATATATTCCAAAGGTTATAATAAGGAAAGAGTTCCTCAGGAAGAATTAAAAAATAACAGAGAGATCACCTTCTATGAAGGTCACCTTCTGTGAAGCGCAGATAAGAAAGGGAACGTATCAGCTGTGGTATGATGGCCGGGACATTCAAGATTTTGGCTGACATTATCAAACCTCTAGAACCGCGTTGCCTGACGGTCAGGGCCCGCTTGTGCCAAGTGTAGATAACCCTATCCACTATACTTTAATCTATATCCGGCACCAGTTTGTTGAAAACTTATCCGGGGATAGCGTAATCTGCCTCTTAAAACTGGGTTTAGCAGGTATTTAAAAATTCCTTTTTGCATGCTTCCTTTCAGTAATGCGCTTAGCACCGACCAATGTGACATGCCGCAATACCAGTTCCACTAGTATCGAAGTTCATTGGGCACCACCGTCTGTCGAAGTCAACAGCTTGGAAATCATTGGTTATGACTTACATTTCAGGCCCCATGGCCTTGCAACTGAGCTGTGGAGCACTTTGCTTGCATGCAACAGAACTTTGAGTGCTACCATAAAATCCCTGGAGAAATACACGGAATACGACATCAGGGTGACTATCTTCATTACAAATGGCCGTGGAAATTTCAGCGAAATTGTAAGGTGTTTTACGGATGAGGACAGTGAGTAAATATTTCATTAATTTGCCCATCAGTTTATCTGACATGCGTGTTTCTATTTTACCTCCCTCTGTTGTTCAGTGTAATTGTTTCTATTAACATACTATTGACCACTTTCATAAATGGCTGCCGGATTAACATTCTTTTGTTTAAATTTAAATTAGCCTTTCTGACCTCGTTCTCCAGTTCAAAATTCAAAAGAATACATTATCTCAAGCGAGGCTAGTAAGGCTAATTTGAATTTAAACAAAAGAATATCAATCCGGCGGCCATTTATGAAAGTGGTATATGGATTATTCATTCGTTTGCATCTTCGCCCGTTGACCGTTTTATTGCATATCGTTTTCCTTCGTTCCTTCGTTTCTTCATTCCTTCGTTCCTTCGTTCCTTCGTTCCTTCGTTCCTTCGTTCCTTCGTTCCTTCGTTCCTTCGTTCCTTCGTTCCTTCGTTCCTTCGTTCCTTCGTTCCTTCGTTCCTTCGTTCCTCCGTCCCTTTGCTGATATTGTTTGCCTCTGTTCGTTGCTTCGCTTGTTCGTTCGATCAGAATCTAAGTTTTTCTCAAAAAAAAACTTGCATATTTATTTCTTTCACTGTTTTTGTCGTTTTATTTTAGTTCCACTTGGTGGTCCTGTTAACATTTCAGCTGAAAACACAAGCTCTACAGGTATAAACATCAGTTGGAGCCCGGTTCCCGAAACTTTACGTCTTGGAATAATCAACAAATACATATTCAACATAACAGACTTGTTGACAGGTTACCTAAGAACGATAGAATTTGATGGACCAAGTTTGAACGGTGAAGTGAGAAATTTGTCGAAGTATCAAGAATACAGCGTCCAAGGAGCTGCAGTCAACAGTAAAGGCCGCTCAAATTTCACGAATGCGATAACATGACGCACGAGCGAAGATGGTAGGAGTGCTTTTATTGTTAATAATCTCTTCTAAGGATCGTTGAGCACTTGGTGACTGGTCCAAATAGTACAAAAACTCCCTATTTCCCTCGTAACACACAAAAAAACCATGATGACCAAAAAAAAAATTCCTTAGCGCCGGTTAGCACAAAATTTGCCACGGTCTTAAGATGAGTGACCTGATCGCCTGCGAGCCGAAAATTTAATTCGGTGTTTCTCTGGGGAGTAGATGAATGAGTTTTGTTCGCCCTGAGATGTTAGTGGGTTTTGACTCATGGCACGTGACTTGTCCTCGTCCAATCGGATAATGCATTGAGTTGGGAAAAATAACAGTGTGAAATATGCTTAAAGAAGCTGTTCTTTCAGATGGTAAGTGAGACACTAGTGTGTTATCAATGTAAAGCTCATAAAGATACAAGCTGGCCTCTCTAGCAGTCGAAATAATGTAAGAGGATATAGAGGTTTTGCACAGCAGCCATGTTTGATGGCAGGAACAATAGATTATTTTACCCATGGGAAAAAATGTTCTTTCTTACGCAAAATATTTTCATTGTTCCTGCCATCCAACATGGCTGCTGTACAAAACCTCTATAAGGAGTATTTTAACTCTTTTCAACCCAAAATCCTCCTCTAACGACAGGCCCCTGTTGTTCGAAGGTTGGGCCACGCTATCCACTCGGCTGGACAAATTTCTATCCGGTAGCCGGATGTGGCAGTACGTTTTGCCATCACTTATTCCCTAGAAAGCGATTTATACGTTGGATAGCGTTGTGCCTGCTCTTTATACAACTGGGCCCAGAAGTATAGCATTAATCTTAAATGACCAAAACCAATACTTTTTCTTCTTTAATTTAAAGCCCCAGACATCCCACCGGAAAACCTAACAGGGTACAACATAAGCTCTACATCAATTGCGGTCGAGTTCAATGTCTACTCTACTGAGAAACTCAACGGAATCATTCGCCAATATGTCTTCAAGATTTTTAAAGCCAACGTAGCGAATTCTACTGTGCGAACAGAGTTCTTTCCCACTCAGAAAAAGAGAAAACGAAGAGAACTCTCCAACACCATTGGCATTGTCAAGGCAATGCTGGAGGATTTGGAGGAATACACCATGTATTCTTTGCAAGCAGCCTTTTTTACTATAAAAGAAGGACCTTACAGTGCTGTTTTAAATGTGTCTACCGACGAAGGAGGTATGATAGACGATGATGAATAGTGAAAATCAGACCTGAAAAAAAAAAATTTCAGGCCTGTACGGGATTCAAACCACTGACCTCTGCGATACTAGTGCAGCGCTCTACCAATTGAGCTAACAAGCCAATTTTTTTCAGGTCTGATTTTCACTATTGCTCAAATAGTGCTTTACTGCGAAGGATCGTTCACATATACGTTTCATAACCGCAGTTCATACATATGTTTCATATGTTTGTTGCTGTTTGATTTATCTTCTACGGGTTTATGTCGAATTAATTTGATGGCCTGCTCCCAGTTGGCTTGTTAGCTCAATTGGTAGAGCGCTGCAGTAGTATCGCAGAGGTCAGTGGTTCGAATCCCGTACAGGCCTGAAATTTTTTTCAGGTCTGATTTTCACTATTGCTCAAATAGTGCTTTACTGCGAAGGATCGTTCACATATACATATCCAAGTTATTTCGTTACTCCCACCGACTCAGCCCCAAACAGTTTCTTTCGAAACTATCAGCCTTTATTCCTTTGTAGAGAGTTAGGGTCGTCTTGTTGTTGACAAGTCTTTACAATTAACCTGGCTGTTGAAACACTTACCTTCTTCTACTGCGCCATGTGATTTCCCTAAGTAAAGTCGCCCCAAGCTCTAAACCAATCAAGTAACAAAACTAAAACCAAATACTTCTCAGTCACCCGCATTGGCCGACGCGCTGGTGTGATCGGAATCTTTACCTTTACCCATTAGCTTGACCTTGCTTCAAGGTGTAGGTAGCGTTTCGTTCTCAAAATGGTGGCGATTTAGAGTTCCTTGTGTGTCGGCCGAGGCGTTGGTATTGTGTCAGTAGTGCGTCTTTCGACGCATTGGCTGATTATAGGTTGATCTTACAGACGCGCCGGTGGGTTATCGGCCAACGCGTTGTTAATGTGTTGGTCTTGTGTCGGTGGTGTGATAGTAGTGTGTCGGAGGAGTGTCGGTGGTGTGTTGGTGGAGTGTCCATTGTGTGTCGGTAGTGTGTTTTACGTAATTCTGAAAGGCCTTCTGTAACTACCGGCGTTTTTGGTTTGACGACACACTAGAGGAATGAGCTCTGCATGAGCGTGGAGTTGGGGCGAGGGGCTCATCGAATAGTGAGGCCAGTATATTCCAACCCACTTTTATTCTCTTGATGTCGCAGTTCTCAGAGTTCCTCCTCATCGAGTAACGGCATTCAATAGCAGCTCGTCGAGTATCATGGTTAAATGGGAACCCCTAACGCCAGCAAATGTTCCTGGGATTTTACTGGGCTATGTACTGCGGATAGAAAAAGCTGACGATCCAAGTGCATCAAACTTCACTTTATTTGAAATCGACCCCTCAATCACCCAAAAGAACGTGACAGATCTTGAAGTGTATACATTGTACAGCATATATGTAGCGGGATACACGCGGAAAGGAAAAGGATCCTTTCGTGCGGCACAGAGCTGGACAGACGAAGGAAGTCAGTATGATACGCTTCATAGTTAACATTTATTCGCCGAAGGCGAGGTGAATGTCGTCGAATAATCTCCGAGACGAAGTCGAGTGGATTATTCGACAATATTCACCGAACCTGAGGCGAATAATTGTTTTAGTATAATTTCAGAGCTGAAAAACAGAGAAATTTCTAAAATCATAACATTTTAGTAACATTTATTAACATTTTATTTTAACCGCGTGGAGCGGTTTATAGAGCGTCATATAAGGAACCGCTCGACCAATCCGATTGCTGGCAACTCTCTACTCAGCTGTGAAATTGTACTGAATTAAATTATAACATAACCATTGTAAAGCGCGCGCTCTGATTGGTCAATTCAACGTCCGCCATTTGCTCATGGCCCATGGATGTTCGTTGTTGAGTAAATGCAGAGACTAGTTTCCGCGCGCTTGTTGTTTCTGGTCACGTAAGATTTCGGTGTTAAATAACAGGGAACTCTCTTCCTACAATGTGTCATGCAATGTTATGTTATAAAACAAATGGTAAACACCAAAGCGTGCACTATTGAGTAATGGATGTACTTGGGAGGTTTCCTGAGCACCCAAGAAGCTAAAGTCGCTCTCAGCTATCGCCTCGCGCGACTCTTACGCTTCTTCTGTGCTTGGCCACCTCTGTCGTGCATTCATAACTTAATAGTGTACGATGTGGTGTTTTCCATTTGTTAATTGTTATTATTACACGACTCGGGCAGTCAGAGGGCCAATAACTAAAATCAACCAATCAAAATGCTCTATTGCCGGTCCAGTATTCTCTAAGTATTGGACCGGGCACTGTCCTAAATGGTCCCGAATGATACCGCACTTGTGCTCCTTTGAACTTCAGTCGTATAATAAATCTCTTATTAACCAAGCTTGCTCCGGACCGTACTGGAAGAATATCGGCCCTCGGTCTTTTTTGTACGGACCTCGCTGCCCTCGGTCCGTATTGTCAAGACCTCGGCCCGATATTCTCCCAGAACGGCCCTCGCGCTTGGTTAATAAGATATATGTATGACTAATCAGAGAGGTCGGCAATATGATACGACTTACAGAATAAATTGTTGGTATGACTGGTCAGTTTATCATTTGACTGACCTGCCCATTCACTACAGATTGTCGGAGACTTACTAAATTGCTGACTCATAAATGGACCAACCTAATCACTGACTGACTGAGTAATTAGCCACCGACATCCAGTAAGTGAAAATACAGTTACTAAAATCATGACAACAACACAAATATCTATGATCACCGCTAACAGTATATTTGAAAAGAAGACACAACAACAACAACAACAACAACAAAACTAGAAATAATTTCGATAGATTAAATTTCTATGTAGCCAAGTTGAGTGTTTCATATTGCACTGTGGCTGAACAAGTCAGAACTTTATAACTGCACTGTAAGGTGAACATTACCCATTAGCATTGATTATTGCATATGTCTTAAAAAATGTCAGTTCCCCAAGGCCCTCCAAACAACGTGACTGGACGTCCGACTAGCACCAACAGTATCGGACTTTCTTGGCTGCCAGTGACGAAAGAACTTCAGAAGGGCAAAATCCGAGGTTACCAGGTGAAGATTTACGGTGATGAGGGAGCATATGTTCATAATTCTACAATACTCATCCCTAAACTCTATGCATCTTTCATGGGACTTAAACAATATTCCAACTATAGCCTGAAGGTTCGGGCTTTTACCAGCAAAGGATTTGGTGCTTGGAGTTCAATGATTTGTGTTTCCACCAGCAACCCAGGTAAGCATCGATCGTATAAATATTCGAAAAGGTGGAAGGAAGTCATAGAGAAGGGAAGAATATTCTCGCGTCTCTACCATAAACTTATGTCGCGGCATCGTGGCTTTGGAGAAGAGCGTGTGGCGTAGTAGATAATGCTCCCTGAGTGCTTTACAACAGAACAGAGCTTGCACAAGTCACGTTTGATAGTTTTCCGATAACAATCCAAAAATGCTTTTTGTGATGCTTCAGAAGAGTAGCTTAGCCACTCTTGAGATGCAGGTAGAGGAATCCTGGGATACCAATAGACCTCCCCACTCACTTTGTAAGAGAATATTTTTTCCAAATAAATAACATACAAAATCGTATAATTCAGCTTTCCGAAAATGCGCAAACTCAGAGTGTACACGGCGTAAATCAATTTCAGTGCTGAACACTCCATTTGGCAGCCATTCTAGCTGCATAATTACGAGCCCGCTGATACAAAAGCAAGAGGATTAGTACGGGCGTGCTAACATTAAGCCTAGCTATCTTTATGGAAGAACGGACCGGGTAACTGAACGTTTACTCACTTAGGTACTGATCTTAAAAGTATCCAAATATTACAGTAGCCATTCTCAATGTTTCAGCTCCCACAAAGATTCCCACGAACGTTAAAGCTGTGGGTACAAGCGCCTCCACAATTCGCGTAACCTGGGGTCCGATCTCTGGGTTAGATGCGCAATCTGTTCAAGGTTATCGAGTCCTGCACTTCACCAGAGCTAATCCGAGTCAAAGTAAGGTCACTGTAGTGGGTAGGAGCGACATCCATGTCACTATAACTGGCCTAAGACCCTTTACTGCGTACGGGGTACAAATCGCAGCATTCATCACAACAGACGGTAATTACACACTGCCAGTTTACGCCCAAACGCGGGAAGCCGGTAAGTATTGTTTATTTTTTATTTTTGCCATTTTCTAATTCATGATACATCAGTAGAAATAAAAGGAATTACATATACATGAATATAATATAACTGAAGATTTAGCATGTGGCGGGGAAGCCGTTGGGAAATTAAGAGGCGTATGTGAGCTACAGGCTCCTCAAAATTTTCAAAAGTGAGGCATCAGTTTTTTGGCCTGATTTAGGTACAAAATATTTTAGGTCAAAAATGAAGGAACACGCAAACATATATAAAGCAACGACAACAATACTAGGCACTAAAACAAACATATACTGAGGCAGCTTGAGAAAAAGTATGGTTGACATTAAGTATTTTCTGTTCTTATAACATATCATTACTTTATTTGGTCAGAAATCTCGACTTAGCCAGTGAAAAGACTACCCTAAAATCGTGACTAGCTAGTCAACCAGACGAAAACTCATTGTATCGTTTGTAGATGCGCCTTACTCTCACAAAGTTTGTTTATCAGTCGGACAAACGGTCATTTTTCTATTCTGAAATGATCCATGGTCGATACTATAACAATCATTAATATTTCACTATTTCTTTTCATTTTCATTTAATTATGTCTTAATTTTTCGCTCACAATCGAATTTTATGCTTTTGCCACTCGAACGTAAAATTAACCTCTTCTTGCCTCTAATCTTTATCTATTGGCCCAGTGGGGACTCCCTAACTTGAATTTTTCCCTAAAGTACATGTGAGATGCTTGGCGATTTCCGATCCAGCGTGTGTGCTATTAACAATTGCTCTTAAATCTGTCAACAAGTGAATAGATGGGTTTACTTTGATTTCGGAGGTCGATATGCTACAGTTTATGCAATGGTTTCTTAAACAAGGTAGTGAAATATGCGTCTAAACAGTTCACAAATTAATTGAAGGCCCCCGCACCTGTCCTCCTCAACTTCCAAAGAAAAACACCTCACTCCCCCCTGCAGTATTTTGGATACTGATGATTTCCCAACTCTCTTTCTAGCCCCCTCAGCACCTCCCTCCAACATCCGCGTAACTGCGTTCGATTCCCATAGTCTCCTGATTTCATGGCTTGACGTCCCCTCGGAACACCGTAATGGCATAATCAGTGGATACCGCCTGACATACACGAACGCCAGTAACACAAATGGCCCAGTGATAACAGAAAGAGCCTACTCAGTGGTTTTGACTCAGCTGAGAAAAGCAACGGAGTACAGAGTTATATTAAGGGCGTTTAACAATGCTGGAGACGGTGTGTCGGCCGAAGCCGTTGCCAAGACAGGAGAAGATGGTAGGTCTATGAAGCCCCACCCCTTTACCGATTATAAGCTTCCCCACAGCTCACCGGTACCCATAGACTCCACAGCCTCCTCCCCCAAAGGAAGAGTTTTAGATACGCACTGAGGCGCAAAAGTGATTTCACTCTCCCCATATGCGAAAGCGAGCGCTTGAAGAACAGTTTTATTTTTAGTCATATTTATAAGATGTAGATAATTTTCCTTCTTTCTAAATGACGAAGTTGTAATATTTTATACTTCCTTTTTTTATCATCTGTGTTTGTAAATATTCCGTAATTCAGCCTATGGCTGTAAGGTGTTCACAATAAAGTATCTATCTATCTATCTATCTATCTATCTATCTATCTACCCCCCGATGTTTCTGGGTGGAGAGAGGCACAGTAGCACCAAAGTCCAACGCGCTAACGTTTGGGATTTTGCTTCGTTCACTAGAATATTTATCGAACGAGTGTTCTTTTCAGTTAAACACGCATCATGCGATAAGATAACACAAGACGTCTTTTGCGAGATAAATCTGATTTGGTTTCTTTTTTTCGAACGCGAAACAATAATAACAATAACAACAAGAATTTATTATATCAAAATGTACATTTTACAGTTGCGCTGGCTCGCGGATAGCTAGACTACGTAAGGCTTCGATGATATAAGAGCAAAAATTTTAATTTAGCATGAAATAAATTTTACCTCTTAAAATTAGAGTTAAAGGGAAATTTTAAAGAAAAAAGACCTTTAAAAGAAATCAAAGAAAACATTTGAATCGAGATAATAACGTTGTGGAACAACTTGAAGGAATAACAGGTGAAGGTATACCTATGAAGGAATGGTGCGTGGTGTGACTGTGGCTGTGACTAAGACTAGAGTCATCAGCAGATTTCAGTGACGAGTTGTTGGTCATTCAAGCGTTTGGGTTTGGCTGATGGAAACCAAATCTTCTACTTCTTTACCTAACTAGAAATGATCCTTAACTGTTCTAACACCTTTCCGTTCACAGTGCCAAGTCGATCGCCGTCAAAAATAACAGCACAAAATCACACGAGTCTCACAGAAATTCCCGTTTCCTGGGAACCAGTCCCTCAAGAATTTATACACGGTCGTCATGTCGGCTACCGAGTGACTTATCAAGCTGTTTCTATTGGAGACCTTCCCGCGTATTTTGAGCCGGTGATGAGCCTAGACGTTGGGACTGGGAACAGTTCAATATTACTGCAAAATCTAGAGCCACTCGTGGTGTATAAGATAACCGTGGCAGCCATATCAAACAAGGGACCTGGACCCGAAGGTGTCACGTATGGAGGTCAGTAGAGAGACTTCATCTGTTTGTAAACCAATCCACATCTTATTAGTAAAACATAGGTAATGATTTCTGGAATTGCCCCAATCCCTCCCCCTCCCCCAGCCTGCCATAGTGCATCTTCCTCTCGGTTAATTACCCCACCATCTTTGCCCTCACCATCTTCGCTTTGTGGTAAGCTATGACTGTAAAAAGAAAGTTATCACACTAATCTCGCGTGAAATTATACACAGTAAGATTCCGCAAAAGCCTTCATTTCTGCTTCCTCTCTCCTAACAGAAACTTGCCGTTGCCATAAGCATCTAACGACAAACTGGAGAAATTACCCTCCCTATGTAAATATGACCTCCTTCACCAATTCCGGTATTATCATACCTCGTCTTTTGGAAGAAGTAATCAATGAATGTTGTGGGGAGTGCCTTGAACATGGAAAGTCAGAACTGGACTTCCAACACAACGGAAATAATGAGACTGCGCAGCAAAACAGGTCGGAATATCTTTTACAAAACATTGATACCAAGACGGATTTTTCCTTTCCGGTTAACGGCTACAAGTTGCAAGACAGTTACAAGGGAGGACTGGGGTACTCACCGTTTGTTGAGTCTGCCGGGGTGGCGTTTCTTACTTACCAGGACTCCTCTGGTGTGAAGCACGCCATGTTTGTGGCGCTCCTGGCGTGCTGGCCTGTTGTTGTGTTACCTTTGATGATGGCTTACATTGCAGGGGTTATAGTATGGTTACTGGTGAGTTGTTGAAAAAAATATATTGGTTTATGTTGACTCGCATTGCTCCTTATATGAGAGTTGACACTGAAAAAGTATGTCAACATACTGATGGTACAACATCTTTTTTATTTCGTCTTTATCTCATCTGTTATCTAATCTGTTATTTCATCCGATTGATTTCTTAATTTATTTATTATTCATTCCTTTATTTGTTTCAAGGATGCAAAATCTAACAATCAACATTTCCCTGCTTCTTTTGTCCATGGGACCTGGGAAGGAGTGTGGTGGGCATTTGTATCCATGACAACCGTTGGGTATGTTACAATTGAGTACTGATTGGGAATACATGGCATACAACGCCAAAACAAACTTTTAGTCAAATAATTCCACTGTCTATACGAGGTAATTTAAGTACATTTTACATCTTTTATTCGTAGGGTAGTAGATTAACCTTACATGGAGATAAGAGCTGTGCCCTTTGGCAATCTCTTGGCATCGCACATAGCATTATAGATAGATAAACTATGTTCAATTTGTTTAGGGCTAATAATAGCCAACGTTAGAAGAGTCCAAGATTCATGGACACTTTGTTCCCTATACTTGGGAAGGTTTAACTTTAGATTCGGTTTGAGCGAAAAACCTATGGGGTCTTACCTCGCCAAGCCCTCGAGCTTTACCCGTGAGCCTCGACATCTATGGCTGACCCAATTTCCTACGTCCAAACATATTGAAAGAGTGCCCCGCTGAAAATGTTTGTTCTTTTTCCTTTTTTTTATGTAGTTATGGCGACCGCACACCAGTCAGCCAATTGGGTCGCATTTTCGCTGTGGGTTGGGTGTTGACAGGACTCGTCATAATCGCAATAACCACGGCAGCGATAACTACAGCGCTGACCAAAATAACTGCACATAGCAAAACCACAATTTATGGATCCAAGGTAGCTATTACCTGATTAGGGACCAGACATCATTCATCACCTGGGGGTGTAGGGAATCGGAGGAATCACAAGATTTTCAGGGGAACGGAAGTGGATCAATTTTCGCCTACAGAGTATAATTGGAGGACTATGAGGGGGAGAGGGGTCATAACAATATTATAGATTCTCGAGGGGGATCAGATAATTTCATCGTGGCACGACCAAAATCTCTCCTACCCCCCCACCCCCATCCTCCCAATAATCATCGAAATACATCGATAAACAATGACCAGTCGCCTTTACCTAATTCTTGTTCCACGGAGAGCCTGCCTCAGTATATTTGCAGAAACAATGAATGTGGTGTCCTGGGGACGATAATGACAATTGTGACCGAAGGGTAGTTTGACATTCCATTAACCCTATGAATTTTCAATTTGAGGTTGGAGCAATTCAAGGTTCTCCTGAATACCATCTTGGAATCAGAAGAAATGCGATTTTAAACAAAGGTTTGTCGTAAAGTGAATGTCTGGAATAACAAATATTCATCAACTTTACTAAGGGCTACGATAAACTTTTTGTATTTTGGACATACGTGACGAATTTTTTCAATAGTTTTATTCAAAAAGTCTCAATGTCGACTACCTGAAACACTAGAGATGATACTGGATATAGTTTTGCATAATTGTTTTTGAGGGTGACGCGAATTTCTTCATCAAAATCACGGAGCGAAGTGAACAAATATTACTGTAATTCCAGGTTATAATTACTCCTGTGACGCTTCAACAAAATAAACCACAAAATCTCCATGATCAACACTTAAAATCTTAACTGAAGTGATTTTTTTCTCTGCTCTCTTCAGAGAAAAAATATCACTCGTTAGAGGAACTCTCCGAGGCTCTCATCAGCAGAGAAGTGGAAGGCATCTTAGTAGATACATACGCTGGTGGAATGCGCGAGGATCTTTTTTCTACGCCTTCAATTCAAGTGACCCAGATCGTTGATTACCAAACAGCGTATGGGGTGGTAATAAGTGGAGATTCGATGCGCCTTCGACAGTGTTTCCATGGTTACATGCGCTCGCATCAAGCGAAGATCTTTCAATTTGTTGATCAACTTGTCGAACCCATAAGGGTGAGTATGAGTCTTTGTCACTTCCCTTACTGGGCTTTCATTGAATTGCTGTTTAGTACCCTTCTAATAGAAAACTGTACCTTGCCTTAATAAGCCCGAGAGAGGACGGGCTTACTTTTTAATGAATTACCTCTATCACTGAATTACTTGTACATGCATTACCTGTCATGTCCTTCCCTTTTTAACTATTGATCAAATTTCAATTCATTTTGACCAAATTTGAGAGCGAATTCCTTGTTTAACTGTCTTCATATGAAACAAAAACTCACACTTCTGTTTAATAAATACTCCG